GTCCAAGTCTTGGCCTTTCTGCACATCCTGTCTATGAATCTTGTCAGACCAAAAGTGCACTGGCTGAGCTGTTGGCTGTGCCGCTGTTGTAAATACTGGAGTGAGTTTGGAATGTCAGACACAGATTCAAACCAAGAACAACACCGTCTGCAAGTATTGCCACCTCCAGTTTGTCTAGTCCTACCAAAAATAATACATGAGTAGGATGCAGTTAATGCCAGAGGTGCTCAGTGCTTGTCTGATGGAGTATTGTTTCCTGGTCTGTTTAGGTTCTGGATGGAAAAATACAGCATGATGAACAACTGCAGTGTTTGTCTCAGAGGCAGCTACAACAGCTAGGTGCTAATGGGTCTAACCAGCCCCCCGAAACACAGAGCCAAAGGGGGAAAGAGCAGAGCAGGGCTCAAATAAAGACAAGAAATGCAAGAAAACAAGAAATATAGTGAGATGAAAATGCACACAGATCAGATTTGGGCTAACAAGAAACATTATCAGTGTATCAGAGTTTTTTTTAAAATTCAATTTAATTCAGAATCAGAATCAGAATCAGAATCAATCAAGCTTTATTTGTCATAAGCAGGTTGCCCTGCAGTGAAAATGGGACCCCCCCGACCTTACACACATAACACAGACATCACATGGGGTTAATTCATTTTTATTTTGTTTTTTTTTTAAATGAGACGAGGCTAAATAATTTACATTCACAACGTAATGGCAAATATTAGCATTAAAACATAGTATTTTATTTTAATTTTGCCTTCTTGTCAATATATATATCAGTGTATGCACATTCAAAAAGCACTTTTTAGGCACTGCTAAAAATCATCATCTTAAATTCTTTCTATAGCTTGATGACCATAATCACAAGTTCAGCAGTTACAGCAAAGGTCAGTAAAAGTATACAATTGACAAATGTAAGTCTGATGAATTAAAAATTAAGGTCTTAACAATCCTTTTACTGCTGTACAGCTACTCCTTTTCCAGTGATTGTGCTTTTTTGGGTGGCGTGTATCACGTTAGGACATTAGGAATTACTCGGGCTGTCCATGTCTGTCTTCCATTGGACACAAAATCTCCTGCAAAAATGAAGAGTGAGTTTCTGATGATTCTGCTTTGTGTGGTAGCTCTTGGTATGTTTCCCAGAAAGTTGAAATGGCAGACTTAGCAAAAAAAAAAAGAAGCTTTAAAAAGTATTTGAACTAGGCCAAGAAGGAGACAAAGGGAAAAAAGGAAGATAAAACTGAAAGTTGGTGGCTTACTGTTGCCACCTCCTACTGATGAAATCATAGGAAAGATTTGAAAACATTTATGGAAATAAATTTTTTCAAAGCTTTAATTCTGATGTCTACAAAGTCTGCAGGTGTCATACGTTGTTAGGTAATGTTGAAAACACTGACTGTATATGAAAGATGGATATAGTTTCTGGATCTGAAAAGTTTTTAATGACCAGCAGGGGGCGACTTCTCTGGTTGTATAGGGCTTTGGAGTTGACGTCACGCCGTAATGCATTGTGGGAGCGCAGCGCCATTTTCGGGGTCTACGAATCAAAACAAACGCACTGTGTTGGAACGACGATGACAAGAAACACGCTTAAAAGCAGCTCAAAAGAAAACGGACGGTATAGAGACCGATTGCGTCCAGAGGCGAAGCAGCGGTACTTGAAAAAAAATAGAGTGCATCGCAAATCTGGACCCATTTGAAATACGGCAGTGGAGTAAAGACCCAGACGACTTACCGCCACTGTCCTACCCCGATATCTTCACGCATCTTGTTTGTGGAGTAAGCGCTTACACAGCGAACCAGTTTCGTAATTACAAGTCACTGGAGGCGCACATCCAATTTACAAATGGCTGGGTGCAAGATTTGGCTATTTTCAAGCCGCCAAACTCTGAGTACGTCGTCATTCATACCAAAGTAAGTCAGCTGGAGTGCATCGAGTGAAATAGCCATTTTCCACCCCCCACCATAATTAATGTTTAATAATACACATTTATCATTGAACTGTTAAAATATCGTTATCATATTATATGCCCATAATTGTAAAGTAGATGCAAATTAACACATTGATAATCGGGCAAATTATTAACGCCAATTTGTGTCCTTACTGTCTCATTTCATTTATTGTCTTTACATCAACATCTATGTTTGATCGCAATTTCTATAACTTCCGAGACCACCAACGATAATATTATTCTGCTATAAAGTGTGATATGAACATATTTAGAACTTACCGGAATGAAAATGTCTTGAGCACACCAACTGATATCTGGAGACGTAACAGAACTTGATATCAGCTCGTCTCACAGCTGCTAACCAGGCTAGACGCCTTCGTTTGGTAATATCCGATACATGAGCTCCTTCATGTTGCTTCCAGGTTGGGAAAGCATAAAAAGACAATCGAAACTTATTCCCGTGCCGGTCGTAAGATCGAACATTGCAGCCGACCACACAGCAAGTACGAACCATGGCTATGCTTTCGCTCCTTACTTAGACCCCCAAAATGGCGGATCAGGCCAAAATCCTTTCCACGCCCACCCCCGTGACATCACGCTCCAAAGCCCTATAGAAGTCTTTGGAATAAAAACTTTTCAAAGGTCATTTATGACCTTACTAATACTTTCCTGGCAGCTTTATGATCTTAGTCACTAATTTCAATCTCACTGATTGGTTTATTGACTGACAGCATGATGTTAGTTTTCTAAATTATGGCCTATATCGAAGTCCAAAGGGAGAAAAATGCAGGGTTTGGTTTAGCATGGGTCTACCTTGAATCAAAGCTGCACTGCAACCATCATGAAGTCTGTGGCTACATCCATCTTTTATATACAGTCCATTGTTCAAACAGGGTTACTTATGAATGATACGTTGTCATTATACGTGAGCTTATATAAGTTAATTTCCATCGTATACCCTTTCTTGTTTCTCATACTAGAAACCAGAACTAAAAAAACATTTTCAGAGTTTAGCAGAGCAGCATGAAAGCAGGGTGTTTTTTTTCCGTCAGAAGCCAAACATACCAGGAATTCATTTTCTAAAAATCCCTCTCAGCTCAAAATCAAAACACTGTTTTGTCATTTCATTCATCATTGGGAGATTCCTTTTGGTAAATGAATTTGCACTAAACAGATTGCTTCAGAGAAAAATTAATACAAGTGTTTGAAGTAAGAGATGAAGAGCTTATAGACGGTGCAGTGGATCAACAATCAGAGAACAGCAAATCCTTTGAGCCATCCCACCAAATACCACCCAAGTCAAAGTACCACCCAGCTTGAAAGAGAAACAGAATTCATCATCAGTTTGACTCCGCTGTGTTTTGTCTCCGAGCTCTGTGTAGTTTTCATTGGCCAAATTTACTACAGTGTGTCTGCTGGTTGTGTAACCGTCCCACCCCCAAGGAAGTAAGAGGAAGTATCCCAGTGCGTCTACCCTGCACACCCTTGCTGGTCTTCAGCTGACCTCAGCTCTGTTCTCGATCTCGGCAGGATGACAGAGCTGCTGAGGAATTTCTCTGCCCTGTGCCTAAACCAACCTGCCACGATGCTCTCTTTAGGCTCAGCACGTTCCTCAGTTACGTCCCTGCCGACTCTCACATGGCCCCGCTTTGTTGAAATATGACCTTCAAATACCAAACCCTGCCCTTAGTAACGTCTCCAAACACTGTCCACCTACGTGCAGATGCATCCGGAAAATGTCTCTCCTTGCCACAGCAGGCTGCAGGCACATGGCAGACCGGTCCCTTCCACACCTAACCTACCTGTACGCTTGATTATATTTGCTGAGCCTGAATGAAAAGTAGTGCCAAACTCCTTTTTTTTCTTTTCTTTTTTTCCTTTGGCTTCGTCAGGCTTGTGTAAGCCTAACTCAAGACTCTGTCCAGATGTTGGTGTGAAGCTACACAGCTGAGCAAACAGCCACTGTCTTCTCTGCAGCATGACATGATTAAAATGACATGCTGGGCCAAAAAGACCAGCGGAAATCTGACAGAGTTAAAGGTTAACATCTTAACTTCAGAGATGGTAAAGTTAGCCTGACCTACAAATGGGCAAAACTCAAATGTTAACTTCAGTGGTGAAATATGAAGATAAATACATACATTTGTTTACTTTAATGATAGTGTAGACTTTAACCTCATAAATCTTCCATGCTGATTATACATCAGTTAATGTATAATAGTGTCACAAACAGTGTAGACAGTTTTGTGATATCACAGGTCAACCTTTTATCATAAACCCTTAAAACAAAAATGACCCTTTCAAACATTAGTGTATTCATTAGTCAATTTTAAATATAATAAAATACTACTAGTGAAATAATTTAGTAATAATAGTAGAAAATGTGTTCAAAGGCAGAGATACTTTCATCTTGTTTGTGGATTTTTGCTTTTCCCCACCTCAGATTTCACAGTGATTTTGACATTATGTTTTTAGCAAAATACCTTGTGAAATATTAAGAAGATGAAATCTGGGTTAAGATGATTCTAATGTGTTTTTTATCCAACACCTCTAGCAATTCAGTTTCATATCAGTTATCAGTTCAAGTGTTATCATCTATCATCCTTGACATTTCCAGTTGTAGCACAAGTTAGATGGCCTTTTTGTTATAAAAATACAGACATTACTTTAAAAAATACAATTTAAAATACATTCACTGTTAATGCAGTGCTATCACCAACACTAAAATTATGCTGTGGTAAAGAATATGCCTGAATAAATGAACAATGTAAATCAGATTGTGAGACTTTGAACCCCTGCACTTAATACAACCATGGCCACGGACTCTTAGTCTTCATTTATTTTTGTCTGTGAGCATGCTGAGACTTTTAAATCTCTGCTGCAGATATCCTCTGCTGAAATAGTCACAGTCTGTAAATATTGTCTCCAAAATTCCTGGACAGACTGAAATGGAGTCGACTTAATAGGAGCAGGGGGGATTTTTTCCAGACACTTTCAATAACATAGACAATCTATTCTGGCAGGGAAGCACCTTGGCAACTTCCAAACCATTTCAATTGTGTCTAATCTCCCCGGTTCGCTTCTTTTTTAAGCCGAGGCTGAGCTCTGTTCCGTTGCAAATACCCAACATCTGTGCATTTAACGGCGCATACATTGTCTGGGGCCTGTTTTCCAGTGCATCACTCAAAACCACTTCATAATGTACAAAACCTGCACGAGTAAGTAAAAACATCTTTGAATCAGACAAACCATCATCCACTCAAAGCGAACGTGATTGGAGCAGGTTTGCTTTTTTTTTCTTCCGTCACTCATTGCTGTTTGAAACCGTCTACTGCTTGCTGCAAAAACACAGTTGCCTTTAGAAAAAAAAAAAAAAGTTCAGCAACACGCTGGACATCCTCCCTGGCGTGATGTGTCAATCCTCCCACTCAGACAAAATATCCCAGAGCTATTAAAAACACCTCATCCCGGACAAGCCCCCGTGCATGTGAGTCAAACCAAAATGTGGTGAATTCTGAGCCAAGAAGGATTTTACAACCCTTTTTTAAAATATGCATCGAAGAAGAGAATTGGAAAAGGCCTCCATTCATCATGCTCTGACTGTGTTTTAGTAGATATGGCAAGGATGCAGAAGATCTTGTGTCTTCACAGAGGTCTGTCAGCAAACATGCCGCCAGCGTCTGCCTGCAGGCCTGTTTGTCTCTGAGGCCACACACTGAGGATAGAAACTGCTTTAATCCTGCAGTGTGCTTATGAGTTATCTCAGATCTTACATCACAGCTGTTGTCCAACTGTGATGTAAGATCTGAAACTGTCAAAAGTATAATTTATACTACTTTTCATATAGTAAATCAACAGACAATCTTGAAAAAAAATCCAAACATATTTTGGCATTTTCTAACATGAAACTTTGATTTGTAATGTAATGCATCAACACATCAGACTATATTTTCAACACTGTTTTATCATGTGAACATTTCCATTCACTCAGTTATACACTAACACACACTTGTAGAAACATACTCATAACATACATCCTTGACAATTTAACATAAAACGAGTATTTGCAGTTTTCTAATATGTCCAAGTTAAAGGATGAGCTGGATGTGGTTTTGTTTGTTTCCTGTTGTCAACAGATCCCCTGAAAAGATCAAAATGAAGGATTTCTACTAGGCTTTGTCTGTGTTTATTCAAAACCTGATGCATGTTATTCATCTGCTCCCAAGAGCTCCACTGAAAAATATTCTGAGTCACACTCTTTAACCGGCTGACTTATTTCTTCTTTTATCATCAACATGGATGCTGTGGTTTATTTTTACTGGAGTCACTATCCGCTGCCATAAATACTGCTGTTTGAGTAGTGTTCGCTTACTTAGTGTGCTGCAGTTTTAGAAAATTATGTTTTTTTTTTAAAGCCACATATATTATACATATGCAGTGTGATCCTATAGAAGGCCAGGATCACACTACACAATAGTCACCCAGTAAGAGCTCAGTCCTGGGACTAAAAATGGGCTGCTTTAACCCATGGGGTGTTTTGTAGTGACCTATTGGAGAATACAACTTCTCTTTGTCTTTGTAAAACCTTCCACCATGTGTTGTGGATCTTCTTCTCAGTTTTGGTTTAGATGTTTTTCCATGAGAATTGTTGACAGTAGCGACGATCTAGAATATCTTTTATGTAAAAACCTCTTAACATCCACCAGATTGGATGGTGATCTGTTTAGGGTTATGTTTAGGTTGTCTCTGAGCCACAGGCTAATAAGCAGGTTTCAGATTCTATCAGTAACCTTTAAGATGTGGTTTCATACATGTGTTTGGACCTTCTATTATAACTAATGTAGCTCCTCTATTATAAGAGGAGCTAACCTTTTTCTTATTTTTTCTTATATACAAGGTATGGTCAAAAAGCTCCAGGAACACTATCCTAAAATAACAAAACAAACAAACACAAAAACATACCTGATTTAATTTTAAATTGAAGACCGACTTCCTTGGTGGTACTTGCTGGTAATTAGAATTGGACCTCCAGCTATGACCCAGCAGTTTTCAGTTGAAGCATCCTAAGTTTCCAAGCCCGATGGCGACACTTCAGGTCAGGAGTGTGACGAGGAGTTTTTGGAGGGGGTTTGGAGGGTGTTCCATGAATTCACCCGTCATGACCAGACTATCAACATGGAGTTCTACAGTAACATCCTAAGTTGTCTACAGGACGACGACAGACGTTATAAAACATCACTACTTTGCCTGTTGGCTCTGAAGCGTCAACTTTAGTGTTTTGGTTGCCATGGTTTTTCAAGCCTGATTTGCAGAGCATTTGATCATATCTCATGTACAGTTTTAAAGGGGTTGATATTCATATGATCAAAGTTTCAAATAATAATGTCACTGTATGTGGAAGTACTGTACTCCCTGTGATCCACAAGATCAGGCATCAGACTGCTCTAAATGCGTGGTCAGCTTTTTTCCCCTAATATGGTCGCGCTAATATATCAGGCTCTGGGTGTGAGCAGACCAGCCCGATCCAACGTGATGTTTAAGGAAGGGCAGCCAATCACTGCTGAAAACCAGGGGACCTTGTTTTGAACTGGTAATCACACAAAACTCCTCTAGTAGAGAGGAAGAACAAATTATGGAGCTGACAATGAGCAACATTAAACCTTATCCCTAAAAGAGTTTCCCCAAAAGAGTGGATGTTATAAGGTTAAATAAAACTCTAGATGTTAATAATGTGCACATAATAGTAACAAAAATCAGAAAAAAACATTAACAACGACATCAAATGACAAACAATACACACATTTCAAGCGAGTAAGTAGCACTTAAAGGAAGAAACGTGTCTACGAACAGTACTTGTATTTGTTAAGAAAAACAAACCAAAACATAATTTGTAACCAATCGTAGCACATTTCTAGAACTACACAATCAAGTAATTCTGATGACATCACTAGTTCCATATACAAAGTTTGTGTAAACTAATTTTGCATTTATTCTGAATAAATGCAACCCCAAGACTTCATAGCAGGAATGCAGCTCACCATTACAATACAACATTTTACCAACTGCATAAACCTTTTTTCACTGATGTTGTTGAGCCTGTGCAGTACAGACGGGGTCTTACTGCCAAACTTCTGCAGGTTTCCAGAAAAATTAATATTTCAACCCCTGAAAACAGATAAAGAGAAAATCATTAAGCATTAGGAATTAGAATAAAATATATTTGATACAGCTTTGATGCAACAACCTGATGGTTTTCACTAAAACATTTCTGGGAAATGTCCCAGATTTTTGGAACCACTAATTTAAACTAATTTGGATAACATATATAAAGAGACATCTCGTGTTGACTAAATCTGAAATATTTACCAAATGAATCATTCATTCCAGTTCAATAAAGGGAATGTGGTGTTTAAAATGTCCAGAGTACAAAAACACAGCCTACAGTCACAGGAAAGTGTTTGCAGTACGAGTGCAGTCCTGTGAAAACCTCAGATACAAACCTAAGATGTGCTTTCATCTTTTTTTCTTTTTGGTTTCTTCTTCTTCTTCTTCTTCTTTGTTTAAGAAAGAAGAGACTTTCTCCTGTTAGCCCTTCCAAATAAACCATGTTCAATCTTTTTTCAAAGTGGTGTTGTGAACTTTAATCTTTTAAATGCTAAGTGTGGCCTGTAGAGTCGGAGATGCAGCCATCTGTTTTTTTGCTGTTTCTCTGAGAATTGCAGTCTGACCTTGAATTTGCTGAGATGTCAACTCCTAGGAAGATTGTGGCACTGGGTTAACACAGACCAACAAACTGACAAAGCTTCTGCTTACTCACACTTGCTGTTGATCAGTTAATCAAATCTATTCGATTAGCAGCACTTTAGCTGCTACTTACCTTCCTAATTCTTATGAAAACAGGGTGGACTTGGTTTTTCACAGGACTGCACTGAGCCCTCTAAAAAGCATTGTTTTTCACTCGAATCTATGCTACGATCATGCTCAGAGAAACCCTCTTATAATACCTCGTTATTCGACAGTTGCGTGTCTGAACATAAACGCCTGTGTAAGTAATATCACATCTCACTACGTTGTTGTTGAAGTCTGACTCCAGGATGTGGAAATTGGGATTGACTGTAACCTGACAAAAAAAATACATAAATCATGAATAAATTCTGTAGCAGGAGGTTATAAACATTTATTTCTGTGTTGTGAAATACACATACAGAGAACGAACATGTGACACACCTTCAAGATGTAGTTTCCTGGAGGCACATCAGTGATGTCAATCCACTGACAGTCGATGTTGGCAGCGTAGATGTCATGGCAACCTGGGCTCAGACCCTACAAAACACAGTCACCTCAGTGAGGTTTTATAACTTGAACAGGCGCACGCATATCTGTCATAAGAAAGCATTAACCTTAAACATTATATAGAGTCAGAATCACAGAGCTCACACAAAAGATACGATAAATATTCCTGTGGCAACAGGATGTTTAGTTTTATTGGAATAAATGTTCTAGTTAGAAAAACATTTCTCTGAAGTGGATTTGGAGGATTTGCAAAAGACAAAAAACACAAAAGCATCTTTATTTCTAATGTGATAAACTAAACAGAAGGATCAGAAGTCTGCTGAATAGCTTATGAACTTTTTTCCATTGTTACATATTTTTCTTTTTTTCTCTGTGTGTTATTTTATTACTCAGCCTCTCATTTCAAATACCTCCTCCCGTTTCTCCTGTTTGATTGCGTGCTCCGCCCTAATGCGTCCCACTGCCTCTAACTGTCTTCCCTGTGTATTTAAGCTGTATGTCTTCCCTTTTTTCCCTTCCAGACTGTCTTAGTGTGCACTTTGCTTTCCAGCATGCTCTTAATGAGCGCTGCCTTGTGTTTTCTACCCAGTTCTGTTTCCTGGTATCTGGTTTAGTCTACTCCTCGTGCTTTTGTCTGATGGATTCATCACCTGCACATCAGACTCACTTTTACCTCAATAAAGACTCGTATTTTCTCCTAAAGCTCTTCATAAAAGTATCTGAGCCTTCAGAATAATGCAAATGAACACTTGCAGTTGTTTTCCTATTGAACTACTTTAAAAAGTCCTACTCATTCTTACTTTTCTTGTTTAGCTCTTATTTGCTATTTAAAGTGGGTCTCCACTGATTTTACAGCTCAAGTATATTTACTCATCATGGTGAGTGGCTGTGAACACAGCTGTTTAATGTCGTCTGTGGCTGTGAAGGAGCTTTGTGAAATAAATGGCGAGAAGCCTGCGAGCCAGTTCAGTCAACTCAAGCAGCATTGCTTCAGACACACGTGACATGTCTCACTTTCCTCACATCACCCTCCCAATTTGGTGGTTTGTTTAAGCTTCATAATTTGCAATCTCTGTCCTGCACTGCTGCTCCTTCCACTTCCTTAAAATCTGCCTGTGCATATTTAAGTATCAGTAGTGTCCCGGAAGTGTGTAAGTGCTGTGCACAGCTTTACAGATCCACATTGTCAGGGGGCAGGGTCAAAACTCTGTAGAGGAACCGGTGAGCTACTTTACATGTTTTTGCTGTTGGGCCTGATGCACTCATAGTATACAAAGAATGTGTCTGTACCGGAGTTACTGTAGTTTTTTAATTTGTTTTTTATTTTAATTTCGATTTGATATGGGGTTTTTTTCAGTTTCTTTACAGAGTGAGTTTTCATATTTCATTTTAGTTAGTAAAATTTTAGTTTTAGTTTAGTTTTTATTAATTTCAGTCATAGTTCTAGTTTTGTTTTTTAATTTTCATTGCATATTTAGGAAAATCAATGCAATACAAATACTGACTCATAGTCTTGTAGACATTCAGAGCTTCAGTAAATGCCCATCAATGCCTCTTCAGGCATTAATCAAAGTAACAGATACTAAAACTAATGATGTTTTCTCTACATTTACATATTTTATTGCAGTTAGTTTTCCAAGTTCGCAAAATCATTTCAGTCTGCTATTTTTTTTTCCAAAAGTCTAGTTTTTATCTATTATTTTATTTTATTTATTTATATTTATCCATGATGGGTTTTTTCTTGTTTCTCCTTCAGTTTATTTAGCCAGTCAGCTTTCTACGGTTAGCGACATCATCTTTGGGCTGCAAGCCGTTGGTTTTCTGGAGGACTTCGCATAAATGTGTCTGTGTAGTCTCTGTGCTGGCTGAATTGTGTGAAGTTAGAGCTTTGGATGGATGTTTCACAGATACGTGAAGCCATAATTCCTGCATTACTCATCACTTTCAGGCTTTTACATGTAACAGATTTGCAGGGAGAGTATATTTTTCTGCTGCTGTAATAAATCATTTTACACCCGGCTTGTCTGATTGAGCTGATCTCACCATGAACTTGAAGACCTCAAATATACCAGAATCCTGGAGAGTCCAATGCAAAAAAATGTGTTTATTTAGTCAAATACTGCTTGAGTTTGGCACAAAGGTGGTGATAGTTGATATATAGCAAGTCTCTACTGCTGTTTTAGTCTTTACTTTACAGGGTAGTTCAGAGAGCAGAGAGTGGGGGAACAACACCCAGGAAATAGCCTGAAGCAAATTAGACTTCAGCCTCCATGCTTCACCTGAGGTGCATAGGTCAGCGATAGCAGTAGCTTTACATTTTAATTTAAGTGCATGTAAAAGTATCTCTTTTTACCAGATCGGGAATGATGCATCTCAACTTTAAAACTTCACTTCACAAAGATCTTAAGACTTTGCATGTCTACTGCTGACCTATCCCACAAAGTTATGGAGGGTTCTTCCTATTAAAAAAGACTTTATCTCCACACCGCCCTCAAATGAAGTTGGGCTATGAAATCTTGCGAGAACTGTTGTAAATCCGCAAGCATTCCGACTCAGAAAACAAATAGGTGGATGAATGTTTTAAATAAAATTAAACCTAACTGAACTGAGCATCTTCTTTCTTTATCTTTTTCCTCAGCTCTCGTGTAAAACAGATATCAATCCGTGCAGCGTTATATCACATAACAGATGATGGTGTGTTACCTGCGTATGAGCTGTACAGGCGTAGCGTCGCCTGAATCCAGGATCACAGTTCGTGTCCTCCAGACAGAAACTGGCCTTGTGTCCCTCTGCCACTTTACGTCCTGTGATAACATCCAGCAGATCGTAGTTGCTGAAGGCGTCCATGCTGTGGTAGTGTCTGTGGTTGCAAAACAGATGGAAAAGAATCAATAGCGGATATTTTGTTATGGCTCAAGAATGTCTAAAAAACCCGCAATTTTATTGTCTTAAGTGAATTTTGAGGGTTTGGTGTTCTTCCTAGTTTGTCATATCTGAATGGCTAATCCCTTTTAAAAAAATTTTTTTTAAGAAAAAGGATTTAGGAGTCATCAAACTCACTGGTGACAGCTGTGCCAGTCCCACTGATATCTGGGCTTGAAAGGGAGGAAGTCAGCGGTGCCTTGGTTCTTCACTTTCTGTGGAAACCGCAGGAGGACTCTGAAGTTGATGTCTCGCACAGTGGGTCCATAAGCCGATCTTGGATGAATCACAGGAGAAAAAGGCGTAAGCTGCATTGGAAAAGTGCTACTGGCTGAGCTCCCAGGTCTAGTTTTCTTAAAAGTAACAGAGCGCAAAGGGTTTGTTCCATTGTGCTTAATGCTTTTGGGAAAACCAAACCAGAACATTTATGTCTTGGCAGGACATGATGTTGGACAGTCATGTTGGACAATCATTGCTACGTAATATGATCAAATGCTTTTGTAACTCGCTTAACAAAACAGTTATCCCAGCATGCTTAACAGCTTACACTGGCATAATTGAATGCAACCCTAAAACAACTAAAGGTTGTTCTTAAGTACGTAAAACGGATCCCCACTAAGAAAAAACAAAACAAAGGACATAAGTATGCGTGTCTGCCTCAGTGTCTACGTGCTGCTCTGTTCATACTGAAGAAGTGAATCACTTCTGGCACCTCAGATTACCTGGCCAGACAGTTCTCCTCAGCCGCACAGCGAAGCGCGTACATCTGCATGCGCTGGACATAGGTACCTGCTTGGATGGCATATGGGTCTGGCACAAGGTCTGGCAGTCCTGTTGGGAGGAGATTAAATGGACAGTCCAAGTTTTTTTTTTTTTTTTTTTCCTCCTGACATCTTAATGTTCCCAATTTATTCAGGCTGAGAATAATCCACAGAAATAGACACCCTGAAAATGTAAGCTGCTTTGTGTTTGTTGGCATAATTTAACATGTTTCACATTCCTTACAGCTCCAAAAGCCAAATAAGACTTTTTTTCTCTCTCGCTCCTTGGCTTTTTGTTTAAGGTGAGACATAAAGTTATGAAAATTGTCCTTAAATAATCAAACAAGCAGATGATTTTAAATATAACAGTGTTTTTATGTGTCCATAGAACCGTTACATGAATGTAAAGCCAGTAATATTCATGCCAAATAATGGATATAAAGCTGTTTTAAAGTAGTGGCCAAATTAACACTAAAACAGGTTTTGCTTGCTGGAATTGTATTATTTTAAAATATTGATCACAGACACAGTTTCTTAATCCACTCTTAATTTTAATAATTTACATTGCAAATCTATCCATTTGGCTAACTATATGAAATATAAAATTTGAAGAACAGCTAACAAATATCAGGGATGTCAAACTCATTTTACATCGTGGACGTTCATGTGAAGTGGGCCTGATCAGTGAAACGAAACTATTAAGGTGTAAAGGCTCTGTCTTGTTATCATAAATTTAGAATATAAAGTTTTCATTAATTCACAGAAAATGTACTTTTATGTAGTATGAATGGATCAATAGCAAAAACTGTAAAACTTAATAAATTACTCTTAAAAGTTCAAAATCTGAACTATCCTTTACACCGTCCCGTGGGCCAGACAGAGGCCTTATGTCTGACACCCCTGATCTACATAATCTGACTTCTCTAATATTATATAAATGGAACACTTGACCTACCGTTTTGGAAATATCCTGTGCCGTACCCTGTGCCAGGCGGACGGAGGGTGCGGGCCGCTGACCTCCCTCTGGTCGGATACATGTTGTAGAAAACAGAATTCCTGTGGTTTTTAAGCGGGTTTCGAGGGTCGTCATTGACCATGTCCTCTCCATTGCTGTTTTCCTCAGTAAGTGCAGGAAATACAGCCGGTGCCTCGGACTCATTTTCCAGACCTGACGGGTGTGCTGAGATGAAGCGATCAGTCTGAGCAGGTTGCCTGGAGACAGGCGTCACCTCCGGCCCCGCGCGTAACTGTTGGTTTTGCGCACCAGGTCCGGATTCACCTATTCTAGTATGTAGTGCGGTATTATCCACAGTGACAGAACCTCCATTACCGCCAGAAGAATCTGTTGAACTCCCCGGTGAAGAGGCGTTCGTGGTTCTGATGAATTCACCATTAAAATGGCGTGCGCCTGGATGTCTTACAACTGCTGCTGTAGGGCGTTCAAGTCGCTGTCTGAACCCTGACGCATGACGATTCACGGGCGCATACGGTCTAACATCGTATCCAGGTGTGAGAAGTCCCGACTGTGCACTGTTATCAGTCCTGAACTGTCTGGAGTCATTTGGTCCGGTTCTCACAAGCGTCATTCTTCTGCGCGCTCCAGACATCTGGCTCCCAGTACCATCCCTCCGACTGCTCACGTAAACCCTGGACTGGCTGGTGGACCGATACGGAGCCTGGTACTCCAGCCCAGTGCTCATTAAACTGTAAACCTGCCCGTTGTTCTCCCATTGAATCCGGTGCCGCCAGGGGCCAACCGTGCGCTGCTGCCCAAAGCTGAGGGGGAGTAGTCCTTGGAAAATATATAAAAATAAAAGTGATCGTTTAGCCATGGCAATTAAACTTAATAAATTAAAGCCCACGTGTAAGTTAACAAACATCACGTAAGTTTGCGCGCGCAGACGTTGAAGCTTCGTGGAGAATGGATTAAAATCGGCAGTGCGCTTCCAGTTTCAGCTCTGACACAAAACAACATAGCACTTCTCAGGAGGACTGAGAGATGGAGAGGAGAGGAGGGCTGAATCCTTTTTCCCGGCTCGTTTGTCGAATTCAGTCCAGTTACTTTCACTAAGTCAAGCTTCTAAAGAATTTAACCCATCCCTTGCTGTGGTTACGTGCGGTTAGACAAGTACGTTTGCTGAGTAAATTTCACGCAAGGGTGTTAACTTAACTCAGCCAAATGCATCACCTCGAGCTGGTAAAGCTCAGGGAACACTAAAGAACACAAAAGGATATGAGTTGTTGTGTTTAAGTAATATTTTTTGTTGAGCAGAACTTACTTTTTTATTTCAATATCACTCCTTGTTATTTGACACGTTGCGAAAAAGCTAAAGATATCTTTATATGGAGTTAAAAAGTCACGCACGACCAGTTTATCAAGCTAAAAAACAAACAAACGAACAAAACAACAACAACAAAACAACGATAACAGCTGACAGTTTCAAATGAAACATGAAGACATGCAACAATCTGGAAAAACTTTACATTGCGTAAATAGTCTTATTGACCACAAGGTGGCACTTTGCATCTGTATCAGACCATCCCAGTTTGCAGTGCCCTAACAGCTATCACGGAGGGAGCCCGTTCCCATAAAATATGTCCATCTTTTCTTTTGTCATTTATGACTATAACTCTTTTTTAAGGCTAGCTGCACAGGTTTTAAACACGCTTCTGTTTGTTATGCTCAAAGGTGTTTCTTTGGGGATTTCTTTTCAAAGCCTAACAATGGTCAGTGCCTTCATTGTTCAGCTATACCCTTTTTTTTAAATCAATATATTACCTCTTCCCCCCCTTCTCACCGTCTCTTCTCCCCTTTGGTTTTCTTTCTCTCCCTCTCTTTCTTTCATTCTTTCTTCCTGTCCTATCCCCCAGTCATGTCTGTCCCGTTTGTAGCAACTGAAAATAAAATAAATTCATAATTATAATAAAGGTCAATCAAATGGACCAATATGGCAAGGCCATGATGATCCACTTGGTAAAATAAATCCGCTTGGCATCTTTCTTGGCCTTAAGACAACAATTCTGATGGCTAAAGATCCAAACTGGACACACACAAAAAAAAAAAAAAAAAAAAAAAAAAAAAAAAAAAAAATCAATATATTACCAAATAAATAATACAAGCAAGCTGTTATGTTTAATCTGATTACAGATTTCAATTCTACATAATATAAATATATTTTGCATCTTTTCTGTTTTATTTGATATATGATCTGTCTTTACAAATTTTTAACCCACTCTTTAAAAACAAAATACAGTTCATTCGCCCTTATCTGGAGCAGAACAGTATCATGTATATTTAGCTGAAACTGCACCACATGGTATTTGAATGAAGTGAGGTGGGGATTTTATCGCAAGGGGTTAAAGTTAGGTTTAAGATGGAGCGGAGTGTTGTGTAACAGTGTGAAGTTGGCTCGATGGGTCTGCAAGGCTGCAGTTGGACCTGATAGTAGCTGTGTTCGACACACAAGCTGCTTGGGTTCAAGCTTAAACACACGTTTGGTGTATACTATTATACCTTTTTTTAAAATTAAGTGTGCCAGAAATGCTGGCGTCTCCCACTGCTGCTCTGGACTTTCTGCCCCACGATGCTCTCTGCCAGCTACACAACAGCAGAGCCTGAAGGTAAGCAGGTCAAAGCTCAAGGCACAATGTTAAGATTGTTACGATGAGCTAGTATGTCCCAATCACATTGTATGAACTGCTATAACAGTATGAACCTTGTGAGAGGATCTGTAGTAAGTACTGAAAGAAAAACATCAGTCTGCTATTAGGAGCTCAACAGCTGTCTTAAACACCAGCAATTACAAGACGCAGTGACTATGCACAATAACGAAACACTGTCTTGTTCCAGACAAGTCCAATATATTAAAATGATTACATAAGTCCCGTTTCATGCTCCCTATTTTTTAAACTACAGTAAGAAAAACCACTCAGCAACACAGAAAGTGGGAAGAAATTAGAGAACCAAAAACAAGAAAAAGCACAACAAAAGCAACAGACATACAAATCTTATAATGGACGTTTGTGCTGCTGTGTTAGTTCCCTTTAAGCCAGACGTTTTCTGATTGGCTATCCCATGCAAACAGAAGGTGTGGAGTTTTTGGCTCACAAGAAGTTCCTTTATGTCTACCCAATATTAGAACTTTATTGTTTTTTGTAATATTGTGACAGAAAAAGGGAGAGCACAGTACTTTCACACAATAAAGAAAAAGCATTTTTTTAAAAAAAGAACAGGGACATAAATACAGATAATACTTCATTGTGACAAACAAATATACTTTGATACTTTCTTTTACTGCGTGTCTTAAGTTTTAAACCTGAAAATTAGCTGAGAGTTTGATTAACATCAGCAGGATCTTTTTTTCAGGTAAGGTATGAGTTAGATATGGGTCACGGACAGGTTAAAAGACACTGACATATGGAGAAGTGCTGCTGAAGTGTCGCAGTATCTTTCCTCTGCCAAAAAGGGCATTGAGATGGTGAGCCTTCATGCTTTTCTATTCTTAGCTGGAGAAACCTTCTCTCTTCCAAAGTCTGGTACCGCCCCTGCATCTAGATTTATAAGAGACGCAGATCCTCGGCACTGGTTTGGCACAAGACTTCCCGAGCAGGACAAGTAACCCACAAAATGTAGCCAGTAAGTATTAATGTTGAATTAAGTCTTTCTTGTGTGTCTGAACTGAAAGTAAACAAATCACGACAAATGCTGCCACAAAAACTAATCTGTGACTGTGAATTGGGAGTGCTTGGAAATAAAAATAAACAGTTTCTGGTTGTTTTTATGGTACACCTACAGCAGCAGCAGCAGATCCTTCCCCGGGTGACTAATTCTTTTACACTGAATATATCTTATCCCGTGAATCTAGGTATCCAGGGCTGCTCACAGCTTTGCTTCTTGTTAAGGAAGATGATGGTCTTAAAATGGTTTTACCACAAGAAACTTCCCCTACATGGAATATACCTGTTGCTTTCCCCTGAGGCCTCACACTGCCACTCTGAGGAGTATAATGATAGATCCAGAGGGTTTACCACAGATCATGGGGAGACAATACAGGTGAGATACTGAAAAAAAAAGTGCTTGAAAAACTGACATTTGCTAGTAAACTGTTTTGGGTTCTGCGCTCATGTGGATGTTTAATGCCTGTTAAAGCAAAAAGCTTTAAATAAAACAAGTTCCTTTTTTAGTGTAACCTGAAATAAAATGCTTCAATGTCTAGTGGAAGATTAATTATAGGCTGTCGGAGCGGCAGAGCGTCAGCTTTCTTGTGAAACGCTTCTTGCTTATCTTCGATTAACCCTTGGCACAAATCAGCCCGTCAGCGCTCCTCACATTTCATCAGTGAGACACATGCTGCTGCGTCCATCGTCACGTTTTCATTCATTCATTCACACGTGGCGATTTGTCTGGTGAACTTTTGATATGTAACCTATTAAAAACTGCCTTAATGTGACCCCGGGCCAAAAACTTTGTGTTTTCAAGGTTAAGCTTGTCAGAGTCCTTTTACTTTACTGAGTGGTTCCATTTTTACAGTTTCACTCAACTTTGTTTCATTTAAAACTTAAGATGTGAATAATTTTCCACATTTGGATCATTTGTTAAAATATTCAGTGTGATGTGTTGTAATAAATTAAACAAAACTCTATAAAAGCAGCAAAAACAAGCTGCAACATTACAGCCAATAAATAATATACATGCCTTATATCTAATACATATATAATATATATTGATTTATTATGGGCTAATCTATATGATGAGCATGTTTTTTAACTTGGTGCTGAAACTTCTGTAAGTTTAAGAAAAGTTTCCAAAACCTCACTGTAGTATACCAAAGTACCTAAAGGTTGAGCGCTGTTATACATTTTTATGTTCGATGATCAAATCACATTTTTAAAAAACATATTAATAAATGAATCTTGTGTTTACTTGTAAAAATAAACGATCAGCCATGTGGTGTATTGTTTCAAATAATTAACAATGAGCAAGTCAATGAAAATCCAAAACTACATTAAATCACTCTTGTGTGGTACATGTTAAGTATTAAAGACTAAACTATTGAATTTTAGCCTGTTTATGTTAACTAAACAATGTGTCTGCTCCTGAGTAGGTGGAGTGCTCCTCTGCTGGGAGGGTCAATTTGCACTAATTGTGCAGTTTCTAATAGCAACTGTCAGTCATTAATTCATGGAGTGTACAATCATGTGAAAAAAGATTGTTTTCACGGGATTCAGTGCAGTCGTGTCAAAAAAAACAACAACTAAGTGTACTTACTTCTTCCATAGGAATTAAGAGGGTAATTAGCAGCCAGGTGCTGCTAATCAAATGCACTCGATTAATATTCCTCAGGAACTCTGAGCACCTCTATGAAAGCAAAGGTTTGGCAGTGGACATTTTTCTCAGGAGTGGACATCCCAACAAATTCATTACAAGCCATAAAACCCCAAAGAACAAGAACTCAGACTCTACAGGCTTCAGTTAGCATGTCAAATGTTAAAGTTCACAATGGAAAAATTAGAAAAAGAGTGAACAGCTGTTGTTTGTTTGGAGGATTTTCTAGGTGAAAGCGTCTTCTCTCTAAAATGAATATGGCACAACAGTTTAGATTTCAAAGTTGCATCTGAACAAACCACAAGAATTCTGGGACGATGTCCTTTGGGCAGATGAGACAACATCGGAGATGCTTGGGCAAAATGCAAAGCACCATGTTTGGCAAAAACCAAGCAGAGCAGGGGTTGATGATTTCAGCTTGTATTGCAGTCACATGACCGGGGCATCTTGCAGTAAATGAGTCGACCATGAAGTCTTCTGTATACCAAAGTATTCTAGAGTCAATGTGCAGGTGTCTGTCTCACAGCTAAGACTGACTGAAACTCCCAAGCACAGCATAAAATCTACAACAGGATGGATGAAAAAGAGAGGAAATAAGGGGTTACAATGGCCTGGTTAAAATCCAGACCTCAACCTGACTGACATGCTGTGATGGGACCTGTGCATAAACAAATACCTGCAAACCTCAATGAACTGAAGCAAAGAACAGTGAACCAAAATTCAGATAAACAGAAAGTCAGTACTTCAAGTTAATGAAGTTTTACTTCAAGTTATTGTTGTTAAAGTTGGTTCTACGAGTGACTGAATAACAGGGTATGGTTCGTTTTTCACACAACTGCATAAAGTCCTGCGAAGCTTTCTTTTACACAACTGTTTTTCCTCCTCACTTGAGTTAATTATCTTCTGCTGCCAGGATCATTTGTTGGTATCAGGTGGGTCGAGTTTCTAATAGTTGCTGTCAATAACACACATACTGATGGAGGACAGGACCAGAATACAGTCATGTGTGTATTTTGGCCTAAGACCAAAATACGCATATGACTCTATTATGGTCAGTCATGTGTTTGACTGGCAGAAGAAGTCATGCAGATTAAGCTAACATGCACTTTCAGCACAAAAGCCTAAATCTTTATTAATTCATCATCTTTTCATAGAGATATTTAACATTACCCTTTAATACTTGCTGTGTCTGCAGTTCTTCATGTTATCGGCTATTCCAAAAATGACAAATCAGTTGAAGATCTCCAATTAAACATTTAATATTTTATAATAAAGCACAAAAATGTGTTTGTTTATCACCTACAATTCAACCTTGTGGGATCCGTAAGTAAGTATGGAGGTGGGTTTATTAATTTAAAGCAGCTTAAAAGTTATTTGAAAATATTTGAAATGTTTTAATCCCCGCTTATTGTTACATGTGTAAGTCATATGATAGACCACAACTGATTCAGTTGTTCATACATGTTTGTCTCAGTGAGCCACCATAAATTTTCCTGTCATTCATTCACTGGTGAAACCACAACTGTTCACATACCTCAGGGGTCCTCGTTCTCTCATACAGAGGCTCTGCTGAGCTTGTGACAGCCAGTCATCTCCTGTGTCACTGCCTCTCCACCCTAATATGGACACCCCGGCTCTTTATTTGGGGGTTTCCATGGCGTTGGGGTGACGTGGGAGCACATGCCACGTATCGAGGTTCTCACCTTACTGGGCGGTTGCATGAAGGCAGATAGCCCCTGAGTCAGACTGGGCTGCGGAGCCTCGAGTGGGTGTGTGGCAATAAGTGATTTCTGTAGGCATGCTAAATCTATTCCCCTGACACCTCAGGCACTTAGCCTAAATATAAACTAACAGAGCAGCTACCCCCTGCTGCAGGCCAACGCTGGCATGTGAAGACTCCAAGAAACGAATCACAAGACCCTGAACTCTCCCCGACACACCCTCTGTGGATCTGCCAAGTCCAGGGACAGAGCTGGCTGGACTTTTCTCACAGTAATGTACAGTATGAGTAAACTTTTATGACCAAAACCTTTATCCAACACTGAGCTATTAAACTGAGTATTGCTATTGTTGTCACTGGCCCCTTACAGCAGAAATTGTCCATTTAATGGTTTAAAAATGATTGTCATCAGCTGGAGTAATTAAAACCCCTTATTGTAACCATATAATTCATTTTGGTGCTTGATATTAAAATATTAATAAAAGTGAAAATGCATTGCTCAATGTCTCCCCTTGTTTCTGTCGGCTGAGGCCGGGGATTGTGCTATGTGGGTGACTCTAAAGGACTTTGAAGAAGTGCAGACACTGCTGCTTGATGAAGCTGATGCCAAAAATGAAAGATTTGCTCCTTTATTTCTGTAGGAGTGTTACAGAATAGGTGATAGAGAGGTCGTGTAATGTTGCTGGATGGGGTGTTGAACACCTCTGGGAAGCATATTGAAGTTTTCAACCAGCCTACCTCCCAGTGCTAAAGCTTTAGCACGACCTCCTGGTGGGCTGTGACCTCTAAGAGTAGATGTAAGCGAGAAAATCATTTCCCCATCAGAGCTTACAGAAATATCACGCTGTTAATTTCACAAGAGCCTTAGAGGGAGACACTGTGTCTTGTTAAGTACTCACTGGTTGAAGCTGCCGCTTCTTCTCTCCAAGACTACATAAAGCATTTCTTGTTATAAGCAGTAGAAGAAGATGGTGTGCAGGTTTCTCTGAATGAGGATCAGAATGACTCTGAATAAACCCGAGAATGTCTGAAGGACTTCTCTGTGTTAATTATTATTTTCTACATTAATCACCAAAATTATACACACTATGAAAAATGAGCAACGTGTGTGGGACAAATCATTCAGCTTAGTTACACAAATAGACGATTAAAAGTAAAAGACCTTTAATGAGTATGACTGAGTTTATCATATTATATATGTTTGTTCACCATGTTCTCAAATGCATGAATGCTCCAAGTACATTTAATATATTGCTTTATCAGAAGTTTTGAGAAAAAAAGGAGGCAGGTCTAATAAATAACTTTTCCCTGAAACATTTCAATTCCTGTCTTTCAAAGGGGAATCAGCCACTCCTACTATTGTGGAGCACTAAATCTTATCTATATGATAAGAAGGCTCATTCAAGTGCAGCCAGATGTTAGGTTTGTGCCTCAAAAGAGGAACTACGCGGATGTGTGTTTGTTTCATGAGATACAGAAGGAAGAAAAACAGGAAACATGAAGTGGTTTCAGTGGGGTTTTAAATCAGGAGACAAAAATCCTTCCAAACAGTGAGACTTTGTTTTTGTTTTTTTTTTAAATACAGCAAGACCAAAGTTACTGGTGTTTAAACACTGGGCGGTCCAGAGGTGGCTTATCTTTGTTAGAAAAACAACAGTTACAGAGGATTATACAAAACGCAGCACTTCTGCCATTAGTTCTTCATATCTTACATGATTATCTATTTACAAATCAGGCTTAGAGCTACTGAACGGATGTTATACATTTACTCAGATTTCTATATTTACAAGTTTATACACAAATCCGCTGTTAGACCCGTTCTGCTGTAAGGAGAGAGAGAGAAAAGCAAAGTTAGCCACACTGAATCAAATGATTTTACTGATCTGTCAGTGAAAATGTCCAAGATTTGATTTTTTTTTATTTACCTATAAGCTGTTTAGAAGGGAGTTGTTAATGGTTTCATACACTTTGTTGTAAATCTCTTCCTTTGAAGTCCTCCCATCAAGGTACTCTGCACAGAAATGAAAGGAGTATGAGAGCATTTCTGCTCACTGGTTGGTGGTTAAATAGGTTTTTTAGATCTGTGGATAGGCTTATGGATGAATGCGGGGATGCAGAGTCTCATTTATATTTCAAGAGGAAAAGCACTTGCTTTACAAACCTATTCTGTCGCAGTTGTCCTCCATCTCTTTCCTGTGTTTCAAGTACATGGGCCAGACGTGGCCATCGAACAGGCCGGCTGGGTCAGGGACCGTGTATGTCCTTGTACTGCAGAGAAAAAGAGATCAGTGTGGGGTTGTTGTGTTATTAAAGGCTGTGCTGTGGTGTCCAGCTCTTAAGGGGATTCTGGTAAAGTCACTGCAGGAGCTTGTTACCTTCTCCTCCTTTTGCACTCCTCATAAGGAATGGAAATGTAGAAACATTTGTCATAGACATCAATAAGAGGCCTGCGGAGAAAGCAGAGGTCAGATTACTCAAAAGCTTTAGAGGTCAGAAGGTCACAGTTTAGAAAAAATGAGTAAGGTCCTGGGAAGCCCACTTGTAGTTGTAGATGAGGAACCCCTCCACGATGAGAATGTGGATCCCCTTCTCCTCAGAGCCGGCTTCTTCGGCTTCAGGTGACAGGCTCACGCCGTGTGAGCGGGCAAACTTGACGGGGTTCTCCTGCCAGCCTTTGACAGTGTTGATCATAGCCTCCATGTCCAGAGCGGTGATCACTGATACAGAACAAGTAGAGAAAAGAGAAGAGCACGTTTTACCACACACGAAACCAACGCTCCTCACCAATGTGCTTTAACACACATTAGTCATGGTTAGTGAATGTCTCTAGCATCCACAGAATATTTGATTGAACATCACAAAGTTTAGGATTGATTGGTTACCAAACTACAGAAATGTGCAGGAAAGAAAGAGTACATTACTGCATGGTTTTCTTACGCGAAATCCATTCTTACCATCCCACTGTCTAAAGCCGTCCTCCCCGACTTCTATTTGATCGGGTTTCTGAAATAACAGTCACCAATAAAACATTGCTGCAACCTAGTAACCAGTCGGAACTGATCACACCTGGACAGGACAAGTCAAGGACTCGTCTCCACCAAAAGTGAACACACGGTGACGGCTTTCGATGTGGCTGAATTCGCTTCCCAACCTTAGGCTTAGAAAATCTGACAATTTTTTCATCAAATCTTAAAACTATTCTGAAAGGTACTAACGCTTGTTGTCGCCTCATCTTGATAGTGAAACATGCTTTGAGATGGAATATCTTGAGTCTGCGAAATAGAGATTCTGATTTGTCTTCAAAAGGCTTAAAAACATTTAAGGGGAAAGTTTAAGAAAAAGGCTTTCGACGTCAGTCATCCTTTACTGACTGTGAGTGGATCATGTAAAGATGGGTGTGGTAGATGTAAGACCTTCTGGCTTCTTTTACTCGAAGTGAGGTTTAAGTCTGACTTTAAGTGGGGACGCTCAGCCCTTTCATTAGCTGTCCAGGAGACAATCAGCCAAATGCATTACTAGACTACTGCCATGACAGGACATCTGCAGGTCAGACTGAGGGTTTATTTCTGAGCACAAAATGTCTTCAAGGACAAATTTTAAAGCAGCGAATGACATATGAAAAATAAAAATGCCTTGCACTAACTCAACTTTAATGACATTAAATTATTACTTTAGCTTTCAAGTTTACTTCAAATGTGAAAAAAATAAAATACTTTCATGCATCTTACCTTGAAAAAGTCATCCTGATGCACCACACAACAGTTGGGTAATGTCTTTAGTAGTCTATTTGTCAGAGTGGTCTTCCCACCGTTGGTCACTCTGAAATGGGTGCCACTTAGTTTTATTTTCTCTCAATTTCCATAAATAAACATCTATATATATATAAAAGACTTACCCTCCTATGCCAATGATGAACTTCATTTTTTCTTATTTCTTTTCTGTATTGGTCACCTCTGGAATTCAGTAAATAAAAGCAGGGAACCCAGCCAAAGCAAACACTCTCCCAAAGGCTTCTACTGAAAACCTTTCCCTTCTCCTCCTCCACAAATGTCCCCTCCTTTTACTACTTCATTGATAGACAAAGTCTTTGCCGTGCATTTAAAGGATTTGGCTTCAGTGTCACAGCCTCCCAAACCAATCAGCGTGCTTTGTCTCGTAGCCAATAAGGTGCCACTTCACAGTCCACGGCACCAATGATGGGGCAGGACTCGGGAGCCTCACAGCTTCGTGAAAGCAAAGCCCATAATTTGCACCTGCTCTGAGGAGTCAGTGAACACCAGCCAATCTAATGCACGAATAATCCCACACCCAATACACTTCTTAAAAAGATAAAGAAAATAATATGAGACTAAGGTGTGTGCCACGGTCGTATGTAGTGCCTCAAACAGGAAGCTGTTTGTTTTGTTCTAAAATTTGGGATGTATTTTTGCAAAAACTGAAAAGCTTTCCCATTTAAAAGTAGACTGTGATTTACATGCAGAGGACATTTCTCATAAAGGAAGAAACTATATAGCAAGGGTGTAGACTGTAAAATCATATATGTTATATATGTGTAATGTATATATGTTTATATATATGTATATTATATATATTTATATATATATTTATATATATATATATATTGTGTATATATATAGTGTATATATATATATATATATATATATATGTTTATATATATATATATATATATATATATATATATGTATATATATATATATATATGTATATATATATATATATATATATATATATATAAGTATATATATATATATATATATATATATATATATATATATATATATATATATATATATATATATATATATATATATATATATATATTAATTCATAATTTATTTATTATATATTTAACCATTAAAATATATATATTATATATATATATATATATATATGTATACACACACATATATATATATATTCCAAACAATCTGCATCACAGCATAGTGTGGAACCTGTGATTTTAAGGGGGAATTTTCCATGCATAGACAGCTCTGGGTAAATGAAAACCAGGAGCACTATATTTAACTGGCTGTGTCTGACTGCTGCGTCACGAATATTTCTGATGCAACTAGTTGGAGTAAATGGCAGCCAGCCATGTGACCACAGTGTCTCGAGCTACAGGTGTGATAAACCACGGCTATTTCTTTGAAGTTAAGCGCCCGCTGCTTATCAACTCAGATTGCCGCACATTCCCGGATGTGTGCGGAATAAACTCGCGTTCATTTTGTTTGCACAGTATTTGAGCAATCTATGTTACTACTGCGCTTTTCTTTGTTGGTGTAGGAAGGAGTTGAACTCTGACCTGGAGATACAGGAGCACGTGGTCTTTTTGCCAGGAAAGTCTCAGTGGAAAAGTGATGCCTCACACTAAGTTACTGACAGGTCTTATGTTGTGTAGTAGTTTGGCGTTAGTAAACAGAAAATGTTACGTACACGTAAGAACCTGGAGAGTACAAATCTGTTCCATATAGGGGATCAAACCATCTGGTCTAGTACAGGGAAGCATGTGGTGCACATACGTTTTCCATCCTGGAATCAAAAGACAGACTTACCTTTGCTCTCAGTCTAAATTTGGCTTTTTAAATATATGTCCATACGCTCGTTACCAGGGCTTATACACTGGAAGACAAAAAGGCAGATTCTTGTCTGCATGTCTGTAGATCTGTAATAAATATTTTAGTTTAACTCAGCAGAGACAAGCAGCTAGTCTGGTTGCACAACATTAGTAAATAACCAGATCTGCAATGCCTGTTTAGTTTCAAGATGTACAAAAAAATAAATAAAAATGCTATTTGGTGGTTTCAGAGGATGTTGCATAACTCCTTCTGGACAACATGGATCTGGAAAATCGTTTCATCCCAAAATCAGTGGTCCAAAACTCTGTCCAAATATAGATTTGTTTGCATACAGCAGTGTTATTCAGTCAGCTTTAGAGGTGGTGGTGAACTTTGGACAGAGGCAGGCTGTTTCCTGGTGCTTCAAGTATTAATACAAAATCTAAATGTGTTATGGCTCCATGCCTTTGTGTGTCAGGCGTCTCTTTATTCCAATCTCATGGAATGAAATCCATATTTCAAAAGGCAGGATTACTCTTATAAAACTAAATAACAATTAAGAGTACATAATTAAATATAACATCATAATTTAACTCAAGCTGTTTCTCTTTCACATCTGAATGATTGAATTTACACAATAGAACATGATTAAAATATAATAAAAAAAGCAGGGCAAAGTTCAGTTTCTAATTGGTTATGTATTGTGTACATAAACAGAAACGGGTTACTCCAAGGGCATTAAGACCTCCATAAAAAGCAGCACAGGACGGTTAGGTGACATCCACCGAGCATCCACTGACGATTATCCCCGTTAATAACTCAACTGCCAAAAACATTCTGGACCGAAGATGAAAACACGCAGCTGCAA